TGACTTGTGATTTGGGGGAACCTTCTGTTTGTTGACATCACAACTTGCGACAGCTTGTTTACTTGAGTGCATAAAGCAGACAGTCAGTCGACCTGATGTGGTACTCATGGATAACTTCAATGCACCCAGCATCAGTTGCACCGAGTTGCGGGCGAATTGCTCTAGAAAGGCCTTCGATCACCATCTTCTGAAAACGACACTTGAGGCTCTTCTCACACGACACTTCCTCGCTCAAACTAAAGCACGTGGATGGCAATACGCTAGTTGTTAGGACCTAGTCTTCCCAAGCATCCTGACAGAATAGACGTGGTATGCTGCCTACCTCCAATTGGTCGAAGTAATGACGCTGTACTTTCGTGTGATAATGGCCTATATCCTGTACCTCCTACAATAAACGAAAGAAGGCACATTCAATGTTTTAGGTCCGGAGCGGATCAGAGTTGGTTTTCATTTCCTCACTCTCATCTCTAACCCCAAAAGCTGTGTCAGTTTCTACTACGAGGACAGGGAGAAGTAACATGCCAAGGTTAAGAGGGCTAATTCGAGGAATAATACCTAGTAAGACCATTAAATAGATAATATTAATGCAGGCTGTACCTGTATGTATGAATTCAGCACCCAGTATGCCAAAGAAATGTTATTAGATAAAAACCTAAGTTCTATCCTACCTTTAAGTCGGTGGATTCGAAACGCTAATTGTTGTCGGAAAAATTATTAAAACAAGCACTACTGTACACCATTGTAACACCGTCTGACTTGATACAGGATAAACCATCAGGGAGTTGAGACAGAAGGAGCTCATTGCGAACAACAGAGTCGAAACAGTAGAGGTCACGAGGCCATCAACAAAGTGCCGAGTCTGTGACCTGGCAAAGTCCACTAAAGGCTGGAAACCCACAAATTGAACCCGGTCCGTTAGACCAATATGCTTGCGTGTTAAACAGTACCCTACCTTCTGATCAATTATAAAGGAACAAATGCTAAGTTGCAGCAGGAGAATTTCTTCGAAACTCTTTTAAGCATATGGCGGTAGTGTTAGTCACAGTGGAGCTGCGATTTGGTGGACTTTAAATAGTCTCTAGATTTTAGTCTTGGTCGGATTAGTAATATCCACCGGAAGTGGCTGCTGTCTTGTGAGTCGCTTCAAAACGTTGTCAAAAGATCACATGTGTGTCTTGGTAGGTTCCTGGAAGGAGTTTTGTAGCCAGACCTATTCTCTATCTGAATCAACATATACACTTTTTATTCCGATTTGAGCTCAGATTTTCCGTGTTGAGGATAAAAACGTAATTTTCTAGCCAAATAAGGCATTCGTTTGCTCGTGTAATGATACTTGAAATGCTTTCATTTTTGATGGCATGTGGAATATTGTTTGCTATGTAAATATATCGTGTTCTCCAGGGTTCGTTCAAAACAAATTCTCTGGATATGTGTTTAAGTGTCCTAATACAACGACGAATGCTTCGAAAATTTTGATAGTTCTCCCCAGCGCGATTTTCATATGGATATGGTAATCATAAATATAGAAGTTATGCTTATTTTTTTTATTAAAGAAGAAAAAATCTTTGCTGTCGAGTTTTGATGCTGCGGCTTCGTTTAGTGAATCTTCAAGGTAACTTCTACGGAAATTTTCTATTCCTTGAAGCATTCTGCCCGAGGACACTGTAAAGCTAGTTTATTGCATCCTGGATGAAATATGTTCTAACTTGACGCGTAATGAAGTGCAGGAGGACGTAGCCCTCCTTCCACTGCTTATGTGCGTTGAAAACGCCTTTTGCAGGAGACATTACCACATTTTTCAAACGTTGACAGGAGAAGATATCCATAGTGAGTCCCTTAATACTTCGTTTTCGAATTTAAACTCGACTTTTCACGCTTTAAAATTTATTTTTCAGCTGCGCCTGTTAATATAACGATTTCTTAAATACTTTTGTCCGAAATAATATTGCAAATATAATTATAGTTTCAATATGAATAATATATTATCCATATTCCTTACCTTGTTCTACAGTGGTTCAACTGACGTTTTAAATACATACCTCGAGTAGATTGCACTTCAAATGACACATGCTTATATGCTTTGTATGCGCCGTAAAGCTGCAGAAAATGGAATCAAGGGATCTATACAACGAAATAATAAGGAGTTTCATGTACTGATATCCTTTAAAATTTAAGCACAATGCTTTACGATTATAAGGCCAAGGTAGAATAACCAAACAATTTAATTCTTTGTATGAAGCTATACAAAACTGAAAAACTCTGCGCGTGGGATTATATCATTGGGGGTTAGTTCTGCTGGCATCGTTCTCACAGGCATTATAAACAGAACTCATTGATGACGTTTAGGTTATGTTATGGGTGTCCGCGTTCACGGGATACGGTGCATTCTGCGGATGCATTACAGGAGGGACTATATTGAAGTCTAAACATGCTGTCATCTTGTTCTCTGCCTATTTTTACTTTGTCTGTCTAAACATTTTTAAAGTAGTTCATTTAGTTAGTCGTAATTAAACCTACCAAATAGTCAGAAGAAGAAAAAGAAGAAGAATCGACCACTGGAACAAAAGTTTCATTGTCCTGAAGTTTCGAATTCCTTCGGGAATCCTTAATCATAGGTAATCGTAGAAAAGTCTGAGCCATGCGCAGATAGTCTTGATTTCACCGTTGTCTTATATTTGTGTGGATTTTCCCAATTTATAGATACGTTTTTTTGCCATAAACATTGCTTCTCTATTTCAATCAAGCTTTTGTGAGCTGGTGCCTTCATCGCCTCGTTTGGATTGCTGTCCGTGGCTCGTTTCGCCAAGTATATGCTTCCATAGCAGCAGCCGTCCAACTATTTTCCGCGCTTGAATGCCATATTCTGTCCGACATCCCTTTACACGCCCATAACTTCATTTCTGCAGCCAAATGTAAGCATCTTCATTAAAATTTCATACTTTTCTTAAAAAAAAGATGTTCTACAGAATATGGAGGAATTTGATGCCGACGAAACTCAAAAGGATATAGTTCCCTTTACCCTTCAAATGCTATCGTCAAAAAGCGATCGCTTTGTTTTGGTAGTTTTGGTTATCATCATATAACTTCTTTAGGGCAACAAGCTCCAGTTGAGTTTCTTCCCTATCACACTGGAAAAAATAGCCGAAGCTTACAAATTTGTCATTATGGCCAGGTAAACTGCCAATTGTAGACATTCCTTCCCGAACTGTAGTCGACTAGTTGGACAATTCCTCCCGTTTCTTCTTTCGCTGCAAACAAGCCTGATCACTCCGGCGCTAAGTTTCCTGACCGACGCTATCGAATTGAGTGACCTGAACGGCAAGTGGGTATGTAAAGAATCATAAGCCGCTCTTGCGGATTTTCAATTCGTGTAATTCTCAAGTCATTTTGAAGATGCGTTGTGCAGTTAAACAGTCCTTAGTATATGTTTTCACGGCAAATTGTTCTTTTCCTTCTGTCTTCTTCCGCATTTTGCCAACTGATTGCATTTAAATTTCCCTTAACAGCAAGCACTGGAGGCTCTCTCTACCTGCATTGATGCCGTCGACCAGATTTCCGGCCCAGTAACTGCCATATCAATTGATTGGGTTGATCTCATTAGCAAAGCCGTTGCCAACTCTCTTGTTTCTCTGGCCTTCTTACCAGAGATCGACACAGCTGATTACACCATAACCTTTCGTGAACATTCCGGACCAGATAAATTTGTGCTTTTATGCTGCCATGTATTGAGAAAACTCCCCAGTGTTATTCCAGCCGTTGAGTTCTGGCCCTGTCCGGGCTGTGAACGAATTCAGCAGCTTCTACAGGTATTTTTAAAGGATTTCTAAATTCTCTTTTTTGGCAGTGATTCTTTCACTTTTATCAGACGTCGCTAACCGTATTATGATAACCTCTGTTTTTTAGGTTTGCGTTATCTGCCTAGAACGTTATCCCACTTTGAATTTCCCGGGAAAAATGCAGTTAATTGCCTCCATAATGACATTTTTGCAAGAATTTCTCGGCCTAAAAACTATGTCTTCTCATGACCAAACTGATTCCGATTTGTGGCAACAAATTTATGCGATCTTGCGCACCGAAAACTACTTCAACAGCCTGCTTTCCCTCGACGAATGTCCGGCCGATATACTGAGCTATGTCGAAACATATGACCAAACATGGAATGAAGTAAATATTAGTTTCTTTCTACTGAAGCCTGCGTTTATTGTGTACTTGACGTTCGCTTTTCATTTTCCTTTTCTTTCAGGTCATCCAGTTTTTCGGAACCTGCCTGAAACGACTTGGTCTAGACCCCATCAATTCCGTTATTTCCGACATCAGCCTTCTTTTCCTTACTGACGCCAATTTAAATGACCTCGATTGGTTACAAGTCTCGGCTCTTGTTTCTGCTTCCCTTGCCACTCTTGTTACCACAGACTTCGAGTAAGTTTCTATCATGTTTTCCCAAACTGCTGTCTTAAAGCAACTAGTTAAAACCAGCTAGGGGCCACACTGCATCTGTGCTATTCGAGTCTCTTATCATGCAGAATATCGGTTCGTGCTTCAGACAAAGGCGCGAACACACTGTTATGTTTGTGAGTGCATAGAGTATCGTCATTTGTATGAGTTTGTCATGGGAAGACGAACTTCTTATAATTGAACAACGCTAAAATAAGATCATTGTGCGCTATCAGATTTTTAAAAAAATAATTTAAATTTCCTTACACCACTTCCTTCATTAGTACCTCGAAATGAATGCACTTCTTATGGAAGGGACGAAAAGAAACATACTTCATCATAAAGTCACGTTTATTCGGATACAGCT